TCCTGCTGTACTCTCTCTCCAGTTCATTTTTTTACTCCCACCTCAGCTGCTTGTACTTTTTAAGGAACTCACCTTTCTGTAAGTGCATAAGAATTAGATGATTTTGTGGTCAGCAGGCAGGAAGAGAAAGACACAACATGAACAGCAGTTCCTATGCATAGCCAGCTGTCTACTTGTTGCCTTAAACCTGCACTTTCATACCTGTAACTCACAGGTCATCTTGGGTAATCATTTGCGAGGACAAATAGTTCTATAAAGACACATTATCATGAAAGTTAAGTACATACACCCAATGGATTAAAAATCCACTTTCATTTCATGTGTGTGTTTGTGTGCATGCATGTTTGTGTGAGAGAGATCCAGAAGATCTCCGGAACAGTTATTTAACTTTCATTCTACCCTCCTACAAAACCAGCAGCATCATTCTGTATGCAAGATCCTCAGCTTAAGTAAAAATTTCTAGTCCTTATTTTCATACAAGACCATTCCATCTCCATCACCACTCTGCTTCCTTCCACCTCACTTCATGTGACAAGTAACCATCTTCATCAGTGTCAATCTCAAAATTCCACTTGTCCTTTCCAATAAAGCTTCCCTAATGATTTCTGTAACGATTGAAGAAAAGTCCCATTCTTAATGCAAGAGAAAAATACGATCATCTTCAACTGCACACCACCTGACTTTTCTGCCTTCTAACCTTAATCAAACAAAGAGAAAGCCAGTGTCAAACTGATTTGCCAGTTTGGTTTTCTTTCAAAACTATACCGAGAATCTATAGCAACGTCAACTCATGTATCACTTTCTCCCTTAAGTATACTGGGAAGAAGCTTTCTATAGTTAAGATGTGAACCAAATGGAAATAAATAATACGAATCTTTCTCTCCTTTAACTCTTCTTATTTGTTTCTTACCAGGAAGCAAGCAGGTGAGCTGGGAGGTTTACCAAACTGTGCAATCTCTGCCCCTTTGAGGAAGCTGAGAGAGCGCAGAACACAGCTGTCAGCAAATCAACCTCTGTGGCCCTGCCATTTCTGACTGTAGGAATGGTACAACGTATAATGTTGTCTTACTAAATACAGATGTAAAAAGCCAATCTCTACTGCTATTTTTATTTTAGTAGTCCTTACGGTGCTCATCCACAAGTGAGGGCCCACTCTGCCAAAGCCTGTAGCTCTTCTAGTACTGCCTTCACCGGAGTATCAAATAATGATGAAGGAAGGGGCAATGAATAGAAGGCTGTGAGGCTGCAAGTCTCACACTCCCTGAATTACAGACAATACCTCTTCTCAGTTACCTTTTATACATAGATACATAAAAATGGAAAGAATGGCAAAGTCTCTGTACTCAACATCCTTGATTCCCATTTCTGTCACTCTGATAACAGAACAAGTTTCATGTTTCATTAGTAAATTTTCTCCTTTCAGTGGACATTAAAGAAAGAAAAAAGCAGGGAAACATAATTCCACCCTACTTCAGCACTTTATATTAAATTATTTAAGAGCATTTGAAAATATTCATGAACGTGCTTTAGAAATGTGTTTGTCCTGGTTATCATCAATCTCACTTTGTAGATCTGGAAACCAGGCACTTGCCTCGCGCCTGGCACACAATCTTCCTACAGGGAAGTGATGGACATGGCCTCATTTACTTCAGCGACAGCTCTGCAACCGCTCCGCACCCTTGTTGGGGAGGAGAGAATCAATGCAGGCTCCAAACTAGGTAAAAGCAGAAGCAAGCAAACCAAACTTCTTATTTTAAATTTACATCTTTAAAGAAATAGCATACTTTACTCTTACCCTGTAACATGCCTACTAGCTAACATAAAGAGATCCGGTAATGAAAACATGACCCTGATTATTATAAGCAACCATTTTTCACAAAATCTTGCATTTTAAACTTTTTTGCATCAGTAAGTAATCACAGTCTTCACAATTAAAACAAAAAAAAACCCCTTTCATTAAATATAAACAACAGAAAATGTGAAATTTTTTACCAAAACCACAGAACAGAAATAATTCGGTAACACGAAAGAAACCTGTGAAGAGTTCTACTACATACAACCAAGGAGTAAAAGATTCTATTATACAGAACAACGTTTCCTAAAAGACGTAATGACATAGCATACAATGGTACAGTCTTCTTTAGACTGCAAGGAAAAAAAAGTCTTACAACTGATGAGTAATTGTCCATCTTAATCTAATAAAGATCAAATTTTATCATGCCACTGCACAATGCAGTTTAGAGCTCACTGGAACACAGTGCTTGTTGGAATTCCCAAGAGAGCCTCAAATGGAGTGGAAAGCACACTAAACACATGGGGTTTTGTTGGGTTTGGGGGGCTTGGGGTTTTT